GGGGGGGGGGGGGGGGATTTGGACCACTTCCCAGTTGTGATGGGGTTGCACCAGGGGTCAGCTCTCAGCCCGTTTATGGACACACTGATGCGCCACATTCAAGGGGAGGTGCCATGGTGTATGTTATTTGCACATGAAATTGTACTGGTTGACGAGACGCGAGGCGGTGTAAATGCAAGACTGAAGGTTTGGAGACAAACCCTAGAATCTAAAGGGTTCAAGTTGAGTAGGACCAAGATAGAATACTTGGAGTGCAAGTTCAGTGACAGGTTCAGTGAAGCGGACAGAGATGTGAGGCTTGATACACAAGTTATCCCTGAGAGAGAGTTTCAAGTACCTTGGTTCTATTATCTAAGGAAATGGAAAGATAGACGAGGATGTTACACATCGTATTGGAGTGGGGTGGGTGAAGTGGAGGCTAGCATTCGTGTTTTATGTGATAAGAATGTGCCGCCTAAACTTAAAGGCAAGTTTTGCAGAGTGATGGTTAAACCGACTATGTTGTATGGGCCGAGTGCTGGCTAGTCAAGAACTTGCATGTCCAGAAGATGAAAGTAGCAGAGATGAGGATGTTGAGATGGATGTGTGGGCATAGAAGGATGGATAGGATTAGGAATGAAGATATGCGGGCCAGAGTGGGAGTGTCTCCGCCTTTCCGGTGGAGGATAAGATGCGGGAAGCTAGGCTTAGATGGTTTGGTCATGTGAAAAGGAGAAACGAAGATGCCCCGGTAAGGAGGTGTGAGGTTGGCGCTGGAGGGGTTGAGAAGAGGTAGAGGTAGGCGGAAGAAGTGCCGGGGAGATGTGATTTGGCAGGGGGCATGACGTTACTTCAGCTTACCGAGGACATAACCCTTGATAGGAAGATGTGGAAGTCGAGAATCAAGGTAGACGGCTAGTAGGTAGTCGAGAGTATTAGTGTTAGACCTGTATTCTGTTACTGTTAGATTTATTACTTGTTGCTCCTCACATTTCGTTTTTTTAGTATCTTGTTGTTGTTATTGCTTGGTGCTATTGCTTTTCTTCTCGTCTTTCGTGAGCCGAGGGTCTATCGGAAACAATCTCTCTACCTTCAAGGTGAGGGTAAGGCCTGAGTATACACTACCCTCCCCAGACCCCACTTGTGGGATTACATTGGTTTTTTTTTTTTTTTTTTTGTTGTTGTTGCTCTAGCTGATTTGGCTGGATGAGATTATTAATTGTGAAATAAAGTTCCTGCTAATATGCTTCCATATTTTATTCTTTTGAGAAGTAATATGCTTTCATGTTATATTCTGCCTATTAGCATGTAGAAATCTGTTGCATACCATTCAGACATCACATGTCTTAAAAGAGAAAATGAAATTAAAGCAAGACTTGTTTATTAGCTGGCGTTGTGGACCCATTCTACTTTGGTCTTATGTAGTAGGTTTAAACTGGCTCTTCTGTCATATTGCCCTTAGAAGTGGAATTTCATAGTGCTATACCTTGAGATATCAAACATCCGGAAGCCATTGCAATATTATGAAATTATCCGGACTTCCAAATTCTTGTTGGCATGTCCATATGCTACTAGCTCATAGCCATATTGATTCACAAATATTGACATTGTAAGACATATCGGAGAGTAGAGATGTAATATATTTTCTTTCTTATAACCAAATGCCCGAGGACTAGTGGCGTAAGGTTTGAAACTCTCTAGATAATTGGCACGTCCCTCCACTTTTCTCGGCTTAAATACTAGGCTTTATCTGTGGGAGTGTTCGAACCCACCCGTGACATGCGGCAAGAATAAAAGATGTATTTACAATTAATATCAATTAAAAGACACACACTACACATCTGGAAATTTTCCGCTGTGGGACAATGTCTAACTTACTACTCTAACATTTCTTACATTTTCCCTTAACTTTTAATACTAACACTTAATATAACAGGCCTTCTCAAACTCAAATGGGAAGAACCACTAACTTTATTTATTGAAAATACAAAAAATTGAACAATTTTCAGATTAGTGAATGTACTGTAAAATTGCTATTATTGTTGCGGGAACAGTTGTGGGAAAACTTGCTGGAAGTTGCTGGAATCTTGTCAGATATGGTGCTGGAGAAATGGTTGGAATATTGGCCAGATAGAGGCTGTGCTGCCAGAATGGTCACGGGAAAAGAGGCGCGATGCCACTTGAAAAGTTACAAAATAGTCATAGTGCCACAGGAAGGAGTACTGGAAAAGAGGCATGGTACCTTGGAACGATTATTAGAACTGGGCATGGTGTCGTTGGAATGAGCACTAAAATAGGAGAGATACTACTGAATGATCATCGAAATGATGCAAGAATAGAAAATTATGAAAAGTGAAACACTTGTTCAGGTGGGCAGCATAGGGCCGACCTTCGATATTTGGAAGTTGATTTTTTCCAAGATCATGGAGGTTCTGACACCATGTCAAAAATACGAAAAAGAAGAGATGTATTAGTGACTTGATTAGAATTGAATACAAGCCACAGTTATTCATAGGTCTGGAATACTCATTATTTTTACATTGTGGGACAAATATCTGAGTTGACCAACTCTTAACTTAACAAAACAGTTATAACATTCTAATATTAAGACATAATATTCTAACAGATGCTATGGATTGTATCTGTGTGGCTGAGCCACTTGCATAATCTATTGTGCTATACCGGTTTCTCTTGTGCTTTCCTTTCATGGAACTCAATACTCCATAATGTTTCTAGTGATTGCTGCTACAGTCTGTCAAAAGGGTACATAAACCACTATTGCAACAAACACATTTCTTTACCTTAGTCTTTGACTGTGTGAGGAGACTGTAATTGGCACTTGACACTTAGTTTAGTTTTCTGATAAATATCTGCTCCTTTTTAAATCTTCGTTCGGTAATACTTGCAAGCTAGCGATGCCATGCGATGCCATGATTTTCGATGAATTGGTACAATTGTAAATATGAAAGTCGGAATATATTGACATACTCTTGTATATAAGTGAATTGCATTTCTTTGTTTTTTTCTTTTTGGTGCCATTGGGTCCTTTATTAGCAGTCTTGAAGCTTCTTTGAAGTGCAAGATTTTGGTACAGATAATTTTCATTTTTCACTAACCAAATATTTTATTCTGAATGTATTCTTGGCTCTTGTAAAATGCAGGAAAGTCTATGTGTCTTGGCATGTGATGACTCCGAGGAGGTGTCTTCAGCTTCACAGTTGTTCTTTAGGTATCTGCTCACGTCACATGGAAAGCGTCAAGTAAAAGATGATGTTAGAGAAGTTTTTAACAGGTCTGTGTAGTCCTAATCTTTTCTCTGTTGAAACATATATATTTGGTAGCGGCCTATGCACTAGAAGTGATCTAATGGACTTGACATCCTCTTCACAGGCTTGTTGAAAAGCTTCCAAAGGTGGTCCTTGGAGCTGATGAATCATATGCAATTGCACATGCCCAGAAACTACTCGTACTGATCTATTTTTCAGGGCCTTGGCTCGTGACAGACTACCTCCTTCAGTCTCCTGTAGGTGCAACAGGCCTAGCGTTTTCTTTGTTTCTATCCTTTTAAGCAATTCTGAGCTATCAATTCTTAGCTTTGGGGTCATTGTTCTTTTCTTTTATGGTTCTCTTTTGCTTGGAGAGGCGGGGTTGAGTGGATGAACGTAAAGTCTCCCACTTGCTTGCTTACTTGCCACTGGACACTTGTGGAGCTGCTATTTCTTACATATATTTAATTGTTACAGAATTTATTTCTTTTTTCTTTTTCCTTAGCATCATACCTCATTCAGGTCAGACTACTTAAAGTGTAACGCCTTTCATCTTTTTAATGCCTTTCAGTGGAATTTGTAGGTAAGATCTGCTCAATTCTTGGATGTTTTAGCCCTCTGTCTGAGTCAAAATTCAGTTTTTGCTGGTTCCCTTGAGAAGAATGTTGTAGCAAAGCCTTCCTCATCAGGCTTCATGCATTCCCTAGCAGAGATAAGAGCTGTTAGAGCTGCTGGCTTTGACAATCTGGGAAGTAGAGAGAATCAAAATAGAAGAGTACATGCCACAGAAAGTGTAAAGAATGAGCATCAGCTGCCTCGCATGCCACCTTGGTTTGTTTATGTTGGCAGTCAGAAGCTGTACCATTCTCTAGCTGGGATCCTTCGACTTGTAGGTTTATCTTTATTTGCAGGTTGTTTTTCCCTTCTGAACTTTTTAACCGTATATTTACTTCTTTCCTGACCTAACGTTATGACATTTTCCTTTTGTTACTTTGACTAGATTCTCGAACTGAGGGGTCTCTCTCTGTTATCATTGACCTTCCATTGGAGAACCTGCGGAAATTGATTTCTGAAATACGGATGAAGGAATACAGTGAAGAAAGCTGGCAATCTTGGTACAACAGGATTACTTCAGGACAATTAGTACGACAGGCCAGTACAGCTGTGTGTGTCCTGAATGAGTTGATATTTGGTTTGTCAGATCAAGCAATTGATGACTTTACCAGAATGTTTAGAGCATATGTAATGGCACCGCAAGAAAATAAGAAGTGTCAAGAAGATGAGAGTCAACATTGCAAAATTGAACAATCTGCACCAGAGGGATCTATTTGGAAGATTTGCCAAGTTAAGGGAGAAAGGAATCATTTAGTTGACTGCATTGGCAGCATATTACATGAATACCTATCCCCTGAAATATGGAGTCTGCCCGTTGAACATACGGCTGCTTTACAACAATCTGATTGTGAGGATAGGAACATTAGCTCGCATTTCTTTAATGACAACGTGATGTTGCAGCAGGAAATTTTCTTTTCCATCTCTTGTTGTGATTGTGGTTTCAATCTTATCGATGTCTTTTCTAGCGGCTCAAATAATGCTTGTCATACTGATGTTAGTTTTGCTATTATCAAACAGGTTATTATTGATGGAACTGGCATCTTTTCAATGTGCCTTGGGAAAGATTTTTCTTCGTCGGGATTTCTTCATACATCTCTTTATATGTTGCTTCACAATCTTAGTTGCTCTCGCTTCCAAATCAGTAGTGCATCTGATGCTGTATTACGCATTGTTGCTGCTATGCATGACTATCCAACAGTAAGCAGCAGCTATGGATTTCTTTCTTGCTGTGTCTTTGAAGGTTACTGACACTAATTATAAAACTTCTTGCAGGTTGGACACTTGGTTATAGCAAATTCAGATTATATAATTGATTCAATATGCAGGCAGCTGCGCTCTCTTGAGCTTAACCCTGATGTACCAAATGTACTTGCTGCCATGCTTTCGTACATAGGAGTGGCGCACAGTATATTTCCTCTGTTGGAGGAGCCAGTATGTCTCAACTTTGATATCCTGAAAATTGGAATCAACAAAAAACTTTTTTCTAACTTCTCGTTCTGTTTTGTTGTCTCCAAATGCAACTAGTTTGGAAATGAGGCATATGTTGTTGTAGGTCCTGTCGTCTGTTTTATTATGTCTGCCTCTATGGACATGACATATATATATATATATATGTGTGTGTGTATAGTTTTTAGTTTAAGTTGCGATATGTTCAGAATGATTTTGTGATTTCTGCAGATGCGTGCTGTTTCCATGGAGCTTGAAATTCTTGGCAGGCATCAAAACCCTGGCTTGACCATTCCCTTCTTGAAGGTGATTTCTGACATTTGCTTACTGTAGTCTAATTTGATATGCACTTACTGATAGATATAGCTAGAGGAGAACAATCAGTTCTCTTAGTCATATTCTGTGTCTTAAAACTAGAAAGTGCATTTCTCTTTGTCTGTTATATCTCGCCTGGAAAGAAAGCTCACTTAATTCGTGTATCTCTGCATCAGACCTTTTGTTTTAAATTTCTTTAGATTCTGACTATTGGATGTGGTGCTCTTCTCTATTCAGTTACTTGGTTATAATCTTCCTCCACTCTTCAGGCAATGGCAGAAATAGTTAAGGCATCAAAGCATGAGGCTAGTGCTCTGGTGGATCAAGCAAAGTCATATTATGAGGATGTGGAATCTAGAAAGCTGAACCTGCAGAAGGGGGCAGAAAAGATTTTTGATGATTCAGGTTCATATAATGATGACAATGTTGGCATGGAGTCGTCTGAATCTGGTATGTATCCATTAAATCATGCGACAATTGAATATATATTTATATATTATATTAAAAGCACGAAGGCCCTTAGCGAAATGTTGTTCGCCCTTTTTACCCTTTTATAATAGAGTTCACACCGAACAAAATAGTCATTTAATTGATCTTATAATATTTAGGAGTTTTAAATTAGCTAAAATTATGGTTATTAAATCTTTTCCTATCCGTTTTGTGTAGGAAGTCCAATTATTTAGGATTTTGGGATTCATTAAAACTTTACCTTATATAAATTTTTATTGGTTCTACATATCATAACTACAATATCTTTTATGATAATTTTTTAATATTTATGTTATGTTAATTCTAACATAAATAAATAAATTGACCATGACGAAAACTCCTGAACTATTTTTACCTGATACACCTATTAAGGAGCACTTGACTAACCCAAATTTAAATAAATAGAATTCACTTCTAGAATTCTTTTTCAATTGTGGTCAAATTACAAGTGGTGGAATGTGAATTTTGAGTAATCCCTCGTGGTCTAGGGAATTGTCATTCAATTGTTTTTCAAATATAAATAAAATTTTAACTACTGAATCTTTATATATATATATATATATATATATATATATATAGATAGATAGATAGATAGATCTAATAAGCCTAAGATATTTAGGATTGCTTCTTCTTTTTTTCCTACATTACATGAACTATACCAAGCATCTAAAAACGCAAGGTAGTGTTGAAAAACCGGAAAAGTCCCCAAAATAATTTCTTTCGCAACATTTCTTCTTTTTTGCTCCTGTTTAAACTAACCAACTTTTACCAATTCTTTTTATTCTTATTTCATGTTACAAATTAATGGCGATAATAAGTAAATTTAGCAATATTGTTACAACTTAATCAAAATAAAATCTCTAATTTTTTTTATATTTGGTTAATATATATAGTATATCTTATATATATATATATATATATATATATATATATATATATATATATATAATACCTCGAAATCGATTAAGAATTTAATATTTAAACTTTATATAAACTAATATTTTTAAATCTTGATGTTAAATGTGATTTTCACTTATTTCCAAGAATATTGTGACCTTGTACAATCGAATTTTTATTTTATTCTGGAAAGAAGTTAATTGGAATTAATTCACCATGTTAAAATATAGTAAGAAAAGAACACATTATTCAAAAATATTGTATTAAACACGTTGTTTTCTATGCAATACCTAAATTACTGTTGCATAATCCAGTTAACTAATTGGAAAAGGACTTTAATTTTTTGATATAAAAGAAATTAATATTATTAAGAAAGTTTATTACATCATTTGACTAAAAATTAGGAATTATCTAAGAAATTCTTAATAGGATTTTTTTGGTAATCTGTCACTAATCTGTTGCTAAATAGGAGTAGCGATGAGTTTTTAATGTTTAGCTTCATAATTTACCGTCGCTAATTTCTTATTTTTTGTAATTGACATGTGTAGATTTCATTGTACCATGATAATCATTTTCAAACAAAGTTAAAACAAAAGAAAGAAATACACAGACCTCTAAGCCTTCAAAAATTTCTAGGTTGTTTTCATGCTTAGCTAAATCATCTGCCACTTTGTTGACTAAATAAGTTCAATATTCATCATTTTCAAGAGTTTATATTTTAAAATTTTATTTTTAAAACTCAAACACATTGTTTGAATATTAATATAATTTTTGAAATTTTATACTCATTGCTATAGGGTATATATATATATATATATATATATATATATATATATATATATAGAGAGAGAGAGAGAGAGAGAGAGAGAGAGAGTGTTTTATTTCACCTGAAAATGAAGTAGTTATTCTAGGCTTTTCCTTTTGGTGAGTTAGCCTTTATTTTATTTGACATAGGCTTTATTAAGTACTCCCTCCATTCCAATTTGTGTGAACCTGTTTGACTGGGAACGGAATTTAAGAAAAAATGAAGACTTTTAGAATTTATGGTCCTAAACAAGTCAGAAAGGGGCCCAGAGTATTTGTGTGGTTATGAAAGCTTCTCATTAAGGGTAGAATTGTAAGTTTAAGCTAAATTATTGCCAAATTTAGATAAGGGGTCATTCTTTTTGGAACGAACTAAAAAGGAAATAGGTTCACATAAACTGGAACAAAGGGAGTAGTAGGCTTTCTTGTCTTGTGCTCTAATTTTGGCTGCATAAGTCTGTCACATAAGTCAATCTTTTTTTTTTAGCAAAAGTTCTTTCATGCTTCCTCTGTTATTATATATAGTGATATAGACCTAGTAGCTCTGAGCTGGAAACAGGAATAAGAAGTGTTAAGGATGTCAAAGCGTTTATTTTTTTAATAGTAAGATGTTCAAATCTAAATAAATATCTGATTGTTAAGATGATTGTCTCTAAATGTGAACAATGAGAATTTAAGACTTATGTTTCCTCAACATCCGAATGTCTATAATTTTTCTTGATTTAGAAATAAAATATAAAATATTGAATTTAAAAATAAAAAATAAAAACTAAAACTCCCTCAATTTCAATTTATGTTACACTGTTTCCTTAGTATTAGTTAATTTAAGAAAGAACGACACATTTCTGTATTTGGAATTAATTTAACTTCAAACTTTCCGCTTTACCCTTATTGAGAAGCTTTTATAACCGCACACTGTATGACATGTGTAAAATTACAAGTTTCAAAAGTCTTATAATTACACAAATGTTATGGCATGTTTAAAGCCACACGTTTCAAATGTCTTAGGGCCCGTTTGGACATAAGAATTTTTTCCTTTTCTCCAAAAATGTTTCACTTTTTTCGAAATCAGCATTTGTTCATAAAATTTCCAATTTTCACTTGAAGATGCATTTTGGAAATTTTCGAAAATTTGAAAAATTCCAAAAAACTGTTTTTCAAAATTTTCACTCATATCACTCACAAAACTTCAAAAACAACCCAAAATTATATTCATGTCCAAACACAATTCTAAATTTCAAATACCATTTTCATTTAAAAAAAATTTTCACCCTATTTTGGAATTTTACAATTCTTATGTCCAAACACCCACTTATAGTCACATAAATGTTATACTTACTCCATCCCAATTTATGTGGCACTCTTTCCTTTTTAGTCAGCCCTAGAAAGAATGCCATGCTTATTTAGAAATAATTTAACATTGAACTTTTCACTTTACCCTTAATGAGATGATTTATAGCCACATAAATATATATGTCTTATTTTAGACCTCAAGTTTTCAAAAATCTTCATTTCTGTCTTAAACTTCATCCCGAGTCAAACACCGCCATATATATTGGGACGGATGCCACAAGTTTCAAAAGTCTTCCTTTCTTTTCTAAATTCCACGCCGAGTCAAACTAAACAACAACAACAAACCCAGTGCAATCCCATACGGGGGGTCTGGGGAGGGTAATGTGTAGGCAGACCCCTACCTTATGAAGGAAGAGAGGCTGTTTCCTATAGACCCTCGGCTTAAGAACAGTGAAAAAGACACAATAAACAAACAATAACAATGTCAAGGAAATAAGAGAACAGAAACAAATAGCACAACATGCGATAGCAAAGAAACTAGGAATACGACTATAAGAGAAGTGCGAAAACTTCTCGACTGAAAGGAGAGGGAACAACCACAACGTTACACCCCAAAATTATATGGAGCCCTTCGGAATGACCTAGAATATAGTCTACTAGACTAGCCAAGAAAGAGTCTAGTAGACTATATTCGCCCGTGGAGGTGAGTGGAAGAAGCTGTGAAGCTTCTAACTCTAATTACCTACTCGGGACTATATTAGTAAAAAGCGGCATTATCCCTTTACTCAATCCCCCCTCGCTTACCACCATGAACAACACCTTTCCCCATCAATTGGTTTTTAATTATTTAATAAGAAAGATGGCAAATCTTACCATTGTATTTCCTTTTTTCATTTGGATCCTATCAACTTGGAGAGTGTCTAGATTAAGACACTTCTCGTATTCGAACTATCAAGATCGACTAAATGAGAGTGTGGCTGACATGGTAAAAGACCGAAAATAATGCCACATCATCTAACAACAAATAACTCGGAATAGGAGAATACAAGACTAGTACTAATACTACTAGTACGACGAGAAGAGACTCTCGACTACCTGTCAACCTACAACCCTAATCCTCGACCTCCACACCCCCCAATCGAGTCAAACTATGTCACATAAATTGAAATGGAGGGAGTAAATAAATATGATATCAAAAAGTATGTAAAAAAAACCTGAATTTATATGGTGTTGTGAAAATTGTTTCTTCGATGAAGGCACATTCAAATGTCTAGGTGATGGCAACGGCGATGTTAGTTGCGAGGTGGTGGTTATTGATGGTGGAGGTGGCTAGTAGCGGTGGTTGTGCAAGTGATGATTATTCAGTGGTAGTTGTGCAACGATGGTCTGAAGTGATGGTTATGAAGTGGTGGCTGGAAATAGAGGTGGTTAACGGTGGTGGCAAGTGGTGTAGGTTGGTGGCAGTGGTGGCGGTTGGTGGTAGAGATGGTTGGTTATTGTAGTGAAAGTTTCTTTCATGGTGGAGAGTTGGTGATTTTGCAGTGGAGGTTGATGGTGAACATGATTGATAGTGGTCACAGTGGTGGTTGGCGGTGGTAATGGTGGTGCAGTTGTAATGGATAGAGTAATGATAATAACTCACATTGACGTTTAATGATTTCAATATATAAGATGTTAATGATTCAAACCTATTTATTCGACTTATGTACCACAACACATTGGCACATCGTAGTTGTCCGCTTTAAGTCCATCTGGGACAATGTTGTTGTTGAAGACATAATTAAGTAAATAAAAGTGTGTTCTCTCTAACAACTTAAACTTTTAGATGAGATGATCATACACTTCAACATGGTCAGAGCAGGCAGAGGTCCTGGGTTCGAGTCTCACCGCCACCCAATATGAAAAAGAATTTGCATGTGCTTGACTCATCAAAAGAATCAGGCCCGCGTGTGAGAGGACGTGTTGAA